TTCATAAGTTCATCATGGCGAGATGTCATGATGGACATGAGCAAAGGCAATTTTCAGTTTTCCGTCCTCGCTTTCCACTGTGACAACTACTCAGTTATAGTAGAAGTAAGTCTCTCGCCGTCACACTGACACTTAAATCAGTGCTGCGGCAACCGATGTGGATATTCCGGATATTGACTGCACTGTCAGAACAAGTGGACCTGATTTCATCACTTGGAACATGACAGACAGGTAAAGTCATATAGATCAGATTTGAGAAAAAAATCTGATTTATGTGGCTTGTGAACAAAGCCGGTCCTGTGCTCACCATATTTTTTTATGCTTTTTGTGCTGCACTAACCCTATTTTTTTCATTGTTTGCCAAATTTTATTGATTGGTAGTTCAGAATAGAGGTCTACACGGGTCCAAAAATTTGACTCGGACCCGTCTATTATTTTGAAAGTTGGACCCGGGCCTGTGCAGAACCGAGAAATGTCAAAAATGTACTACCCGGAACCGACGCGGACCGTCAATTATTTGAAAGATGGACCAGAACCAGGCCGGGAAGACACAGACCCGACTGGACCCTATCGGCACATACAGGTGCATCTCAATAAATTAGAATGTCGTGGAAAAGTTCATTTATTTCAGTAATTCAACTCAAATTGTTGAACCAACGAGAGAACCACAACCTTATGAGGATTGTCAAGCAAAATCGATTCAAGAATTTGAGTGAACTTCACAAGGAATGGACCGAGGCTGGGGTCAAGGCATCAAGAGCCACCACACACAGACGTGTCAAGAAATTTGGCTATAGTTGTCGTATTCCCCTTGTTAAGCCACTCCTGAACCACAGACAACGTCAGAGGCGTCTTACCTGGGCTAAGGAGAAGAAGAACTGGACTGTTGCCCAGTGGTCCAAAGTCCTCTTTTCAGATGAGAGCAAGTTTTGTATTTCATTTGGAAACCAAGGTCCTAGCGTCTGGAGTAAGTGTGGAGAAGCTCATAGCCCAAGTTGCTTGAAGTCCAGTGTTAAGTTTCCACAGTCAGTGATGATTTGGGGTGCAGTGTCATCTGCTGGTGTTGGTCCATTGTGTTTTTTGAAAACCAACGTCACTGCACCCGTTTACCAAGAAATCCGTGCAGAACCGAGAAATGTCAAAAATGTACTACCCGGAACCGACACGGACCGTCAATTATTTCAAAGATGGACCCGAACCCGGCCGGGAAGACACCGACCCGACTGGACCCGATCGGCACATATTCCACAGCAAATTGCTATTAACAAGTCGATAAACAAGTTGCGAAAATTAATAAACTTTTTGTCTTGTCTAATGTAAGAAGCCTTCTCCCTTGTACCTGACTGTGATGCACACAATCCTCCTTGCCAAGAAAGTTCCAATCCTTGTTATTCCTCTCTTGCCAATTGAGATGCGTAATCCATTCATTATTCCAGTTTCAAGAGTCCACTTGCTGTCACGGTGATGGATGACAAATGCAACTTTGCAGTTTTGCATTTTTTGTATCTTGAGTCAACTTGCATAATAATTTAGACTGTTTTCCCATTTGGATTATAATAACGATTGCTCGTCCAGTGCTATGGCTGCTGACATTAGCTTTACTTATTTGCTATCATCTCTGTGCTCTCTGAGCAAAAATTTTAGATATAACAACAAGACGGTTCATTCATAACATTATTTAAAAAATAATCAATAATTCGCATCACTCATGACGGTATCCATTATCACTGTGCGTGTGCATTAACTCCGCCCACCCTGCTTCTGATGACGTCGCTCATGTTTTTTTTTTTTCCACCTTATTTCAAATTACCGACTCTCACTTTTCTCATCCTAATTTAAAGTTGAAAGTTACAAAACAACACATGCACAGTGCTGACTAACTCTGATAACGGCCGGGTGTTCTTCGAGTCCGATCGACTCGGGTATTACACACAATGTTAAACAGACCCGGGACCCGAAGTAGTAGATTGGGACCCGACCCGGACCCGGCTGACCATTTAAAATATAGCCCCGAATCCATACGGATCCCAGGTCCTCGGGTCTCGGGTCCTCTGTGTAGACCTCTAGTTCAGAATGCTTTTCGTAATTTCGAAAGGTAACAAATAAATATGGTATTGTGCATTTTCTCTCATTGGAAACAGTCCCATGGTAAAAGATGTTAATTTAGAAGTGAATAGAACATTAGAGAATAAGGTTCCCCAGACGAGAAAGAGATGTGAGGGAGATTTCAGTGAGAGAAACAAGAGATTCCAAGTGTAGTCCGGTGGAATAATTAATAGGATCCTGTTTTGAGACAGGTGAAGCAAGAGCAAAAGCAGCGTCTGCTGTCTTTTTCCTGTTCTGAAAGCTGGTTATTAACTAAAATTTAAAATGATTAAAAATATTTTTTTTTGGTAATTGAAATAAAGCTAAAATATAAATATTAGTGCAAGTATATAATATTAGTATAAGTACTAAAACTGAAATAAAAAAGCTAATTAAAAATATTTAAAGAATGAATTAAAATCACAAAAGCACTTAACAAAATTACTAAAACTAAAATTAAAATTAAAACTAATAAAATACAATTCCAAATAATAAATATTGTAATAGTATATAAATAATACTAAAATAACACTGAGTGTTGATAAATGAATAAAAAACACAAATTACTGACAAAAAAAAATATAAAATAGAAAGTAAGCATAATGAGTCTTTTATGAAGCTTTGAAGATCCACTCCTCATTAATTGCATGGAAAAAGCAATACATAATTTCTCCACCTTTATTTCACTGAAATAACATGAGGGTGATTTTTAAATGAACCTTTTCTTTAATACATTAATCGAAAAGTTTGCAAAAGTTCCGACACGAAAACTGTTCAAATGTTACATTAAAGGTTGCATTGGGATTTTTACACATTTCAAATACACACAAAACTGGCTTGAGAGTGGTCAACTATTTTGTGTGTGTGTGTGTGTGTGTGTGTGTGCGCGCGCGCGCGCATGTGTGTGTATGTTGGAGACAGTTGAAGCCAATTGAGATGTGTCAGAAAGCAAATCGGAAATGCCAATTTCACTTACATCCAGGCAACGTGCATCACGCCTAAACTGCGCCACTTATTTCGTGTATAAATTAATGGCTTCCGCTCTGTAATTTAGATTTTTGAGCTTTCCCAAACACCCTCGATCTATTTTCCTCCCCATTTCCGTCTCGCTTCCTCTTTCCTGTGTGCTCCCCGACCCCACCGCTCATCCAGAGACGGCCTGGCCTGCTCAGACAAATCACATTTCTCTCTGCTTGCTGGTTCTGAGTCAGTAGCTCTGCTATTAGACAGTTTCTGATACTAGAACCTCGTCTGTAAGTGTGCTGAATATCTGCTGCTGTTTATCAGGAGTGTGTGTGAATGAGAGGGGCTGTAGAGAGGAGGCTGCTGTCAGGGTGGAATGTTTTCACCTCCCCCATATTGATCTGACAGTCTCACAATTGCGTGATGAGAATCCTGACTTGTCTCTCCTTCGCTGTCTGCCTCACTCTGCTGCTCTCTCTCCATTTTATCCGTCTCACTCTCTTTTTCTCTCTCAAGGATACACGCTTAAATGGCAAGATTTACATGGAGCGAGATAAGTCAGTATGTTTCATTAATTCGCTGCCATTTCAGACGGGCTGAGCTCAAGCTGTGCACAAGAACACGGTTTGCATGAATTTTTCTGAACAATCTTCATCCCAGTGGCCCCCAGTTGCATGTCAGGATCAGTGCACAGGAAAGAGGATAGGAAGAGATGGTGAGATGCGTGAGATTCGAAAAATGTTGTGAGCCAGATTCAAACTCCAGATTCCTACATGAACATTACAGCTGAATGTGTCCATCAATTGCTTTATGTTGAGTATTTTTGGCTTTTTAGTTGAGGGAGAACAGGAAATTAAATGGCGAGAAGTGTGGGTAATGGGATCGAGAAATATTGTGAGCCAAACTCATATTTATGGCATGAACACTACAAGCTAAATGTGTCCAGAAATGTTTTTTTTTAATGTAATTATTTTTATTTATTAATTTTTTGTCTTTAGTAAAGAAAGACCATGAAGGTATGCCTAGTAATAGAAACAATTGGTTTAAGAAAAAAAAAATAAAATCTGATTCCAATCCGTGTTTACCACATAAGCACCATAGCTCGATGTGTCACTTTTTTGTTTTATTGTGGGCCATTTTGTCTTTTTAGCAGATTTTTTTTCTTCTAAATGTTAAGAAAGCACAGTAAAAGATGGTGAGAAGTGTGGGTAATATTAAGAGTTTGAATCTGCAAGGTTTTTAATTTTTTTAAGACATTTTTGTCTTTTTAGTAGACAGACAGCATGATATTATGGCTAAAAATATAAATAATTGGTTCAGAAACAACATATTTCCTACATAAACCCCCTTTTTTGAGGGGGGGGGGCATTTTGTCTTTTTTTAGTGGGTGGAAACACAATAGAGAGAGGATAATGGTATTGAGTAATGTCGAGAGTCTAATTCAAACTCATTTTTCACACTCATTTTGAGCCTTTTTTGTCTTTTTAATGGATAAACTGTAGTGCAAGGACAGGAAGTGATGACAAGAAGTGGGGGTAATCAGATCAGAAAATTTTGCGAGCTGCAGTTGTTCAGTGTGTCATTTACTAGTTTTATTTTGTGCCTTTTTGTCTTTTATGGTGGATAGACAGACTGCAGAGACAGGAAGTGATGGTGATAAGCATGAGGAATCGGATTGGAAACGCTGTGAAACATATTAAAATCCATATTTCCTACATGAGCACTACAATCTACAGTCTTTTTGCAGGTTTTAAAATGTTTATAAATGGTTTTTATTGAAAATAGTTTAAGAACACCTATTACCTGAGGTAAAACATAACCTTTTGTGGCTTTTTGCTTGATTTTATGACCGTATTTGCGCTTGATGGAGGCTCACACTACACAAAAGAATGAGAAAACATCAAGTGTAAATAACAGCATTGAATCATATCTTCCTTTTTCTCTCTCTCCAGTATGACTATGAAGGAAATGACATCAGCGACTTGCCGGTGGACCTCTCGGTTGTGTGGAACGGAGATTTCGTCATTGACAACCCCTACAATATCCAAGGTAAAGCTCTCATCCGTTCCTCTATAGTCAGTCCTTTTGTGTACCCACACCTCTCTCCAGTATGTCTGTGAAGACAAATTAGGTCCGTTTTATGCCTGGCTGCATGTCAGGCCTCACTGCTCTCCATACAGCTTATCTGGTCCTTCCTGAGCTGTGATTGCAGCTCGCTGCTGCTAAACAATAAAAAAACCATGTGAAACCCTCATTCGGAAAGAATGAAAAGGGTTGCAGCAGAGAAAGTGTGGTTTTGGGTTCACATCCCCATCTTGATGGCTTGATGGCCACTTTGGTCATTTTGGGTCGAGTCCAGGTCTATTTGTTGCTAATATTTCAAGTGTCAGGCTGGTAAGGAGCTATTCAGAGTGAGTGGTGAGTGAACGGTGACTCCAGAGGACCATCTAATTGATCCCCACACCTGGGCCAAATCAAGATCTCAGCACCTTGACTGATATCACGCTTTTCCATTCTTCTTTTTCTCATCTCTTTGCTGTCTGTGAAATATAAGAAAGGCTTCCTTTCAGATCCAATGTCTGTGTATCGTCCAGTCTGCTAAGATGCCATTATCTAGACCGTTTCTGAAGGTAGCACAGATGTATGCTTCACTTTGGATGGAGTGACTGAAAGAAGTAAATTAATTAATAAATGTCCTTTCAGTTTATGATAATATTTCTTTACACTACCGTTCAAAAGTTTGATCAAAATTGACAGTTAAGACATTTATAATGTTCCAAAAGACTCCTGTTTCTAAAAATGTTGTTCTTTTGAATTTTATATTTATCAAAGAATCCTGAAAAATGTATCATAATATATCAGAATAATGTATCAAATGTATAATATTGATGAAGATTTTATTTTTTCTTGAGTACCAAATCACCATGTTAGAAGGATTTGTGAAAGATCATGTGACACTGAAGACTGGAATAATGACTGGAAAATTGAGCTTTGCCATCATAGGAATAACATTTTAATGAAATATAATAAATAAATAAAAATATGTATTTCACAATACTTTGTTTTTGCTGTATTTTTATCAAATAAATGCAGCTTTCGTTGGTATATCCTACTTTATTTTTTCTTTTTCTTTTTTTTTATAAAAAATAATTTATTGACCCCAAACTTTTGAATGGTATATAATAATAAAAATAAGTTATTATTGGTGTCTTAAAAGGATGTCTGCACTGCAAAAACATTTTTTCTTAGTTTTGTTCTTCAAAAATGCATAGAACAAAAACAAAATATGGTTAAAAATTAATTCAAAATATATTTTTTGAAAACTAGACTTAATATCTTTTGTAACTTTCAAACTATGCAAACTGTCTTGTTTTCAGGATTTTGAGATATATTTGGCCCGTGTTTTTTTCTCTCTCTCTCTCTCTCTCTCTCTCTCTCTCTCTCTCTCTCAGCATCGTCTTTATAGCACAATAAATGTATCTAACTGCAAGAGAAAAAAAACCCAGCTTTGCCCTGCTGTAAAGTGGAAATGTTAATGTAATTAAATCATTCATTTGGTTCAGTTTAATTAGCGCAGCGCTACTTTTAAGCTTAGCCATGGCTAATCTGATTAGCATGAGGCTGAGACGGATGGATACACTGTCTCTTTTGAAGTCCGGTGGCAGTCTAAGACGCCCAGCCAACAGAACATTCACCCAGTCCCCTGAAGCTCCAGAGGCCCACGAAAAATCTGCCATCTTTCTCTTTACAATGGGAATTTAACATCTGTAATTCGCTAATTGTTAGCTGTAGCTGAGGTGATACCTTTGTTTCATACATCATCCAATTTTTAATCACACTTTCTGTCAGTTCACAGTTAAAGGGAACTAGTTAAACATTTAGATAAAAAATTTAGAATAATGTGTCTGTGCTCTCATTTTTAGTTTTGCAGTTTGGATTATTAGCAGTAATAGGTGATGGTTGTGTGGATGAACTCATTTGTTTAACTTCAAGTACATGCATTCAGCTTCAAATAAAAAGGTACCATGGTACTATTTGGATGTGAACCATAGGAGTCTTTGATATACCTTGGAATACCATATAAATACCATACTATACAGTGTTTACATGGTTCTCTAATTGTTATGCTAATTTTTATGCATTTCACTACTTAAAAAACCTCTTAAACTAACCTAAGCTGGTTAGCTGGTCTTCTAGCCTGGTTATAGCTGGTTTAGTAGGCTGGCTTTAGAGGGGTTTTGACCACTTCTTTAGCTAGTCAGGCTTGGACACCATCTGGACAACCGGCTTATACCAGCTACATCCAGATTAAACCATTTAAGACCAGCCAAGCAGCATAGACTGGTTTTAGTTGCTTTTTTATTTGCTCAAATTGCCATGTTAATATTATATATTATTTTTTTAATGAAAACATTTGTATTACATAAGATACCATCTGATACCATCTCTTTACCTTGGTGCTGCTTTTTCTGTTCATTAAATGAATAAGCCACTAAGGTTCTGCTTGATTTTACCACAGTAAAGGATGTATGTTGGCTTATTGTGAGATGCAGGTGAATCACTGTAACTCACGGTTAAAACAGTGGCAACAGCAATATGAAAAAGACACTGATGTTTAAAAATAATCACATTTATTCAGTCTAATAATGACAATAAACACTTCTTCAGTCGGTAAGTTCATTAGCTCAACTGTAGATGGTTTATGGTTGCCAAGCAACTTAGCACATTAATATAAAATTAATCTGATGTGTGGTCGCAGGTTTTGTCCTCTGCTCTGTGTGCTTATTTATCCCTGTCTTTATCTCTCTTTCTCTCGGCAGCGTACCTGTACAAGTGTTACGCCATGCGGGACAGCTGTGGGATGTGTTTGAAAGCAGATCCTCGGTTTGACTGCGGCTGGTGCGTGCAGGAGAAGAAGTGTTCACTGAGACAGGAGTGTGCTCCTCCAGAGAGCATCTGGATGCACCCCAGTGCAGGAAACAGTCGCTGCACACACCCCAAAATCAACAAGGTAGCACCCGTTCCCATTTAACACATTCAGTATTTACAAGGCTGTCAAACACACTTTTTTTATTGTGTGAGCATTTAACAAGCGTTGTATTTTGCAGAGCAGTGTTGAAAATGAAGGTTCTTCGATGGTGCTTTGCATCTTATGTTCAGCAAAGAACCTATCAAGTAAATTTTTCACTGTATAAGTTTTTGAGAAGCTTTGTGTTTCTTGTAAAGAATATTTTTACATTTCTAGGTTCTTTAGATCAGTGTTTACGTTTTAGGTATCTGTTAGAGGAAACCTCAAGTCTTTCTGGGTTCTTTGAAGCACCATTGTGGTTTTGTTAAAAAAACGATGGAATTTAAAGAAATTAAATATTAAATACAATTATATGAAATATATATGCTCAATACAAAATAAGCTCAGTCATCTGCATTAGTGTAATAATAGAATAATAATGTTGATTACCACAAAAAAAAAAAACACCACTAAGGCTGAGGCAGAAATGCAAAGCTTCTATAAAAATAATTTTAGCACTTAACACTACTGTTCAAATGTTAAAGATTTTTTTTTTTTAAACTCTCTTTTTCTCACCAAGGCTGCTTTTATTTGATCAGAAATACAGTATAGTAATATTGTGAAATATTATTGCAGTTTTCAGCATCATTACTCCACTCTTCAGTGTCACATGATCCTTCAGAAATCATTTTAATATGCTGATTTGCTGCTCAGGAAACATTTCATTTTATTATCAATGTTGAAAACAGTTTTGCTGCTTAATATTTTTTTTTGTGAAAACTGTGATGCATTCTTTTCAGGATTCTCTGATGAATAGAAAGTTCAAAAGAACAACATTTATTTGAAATATAAATCTTACACTATGAATGTATTTATTGTCGCTTTTGATCATTTCAATACATCCTTGCAGAATAAAATGGGTTTTTCTTTCAAAAAACGTCAGTGTAACTTCACACGGAACAGTTTAGTCAGCATATATTTGTATATTGTTTTTGTCCTGTGGCTATTTAATTGAAACTATTTAATTTTATAATATAATTAAGTTTTTAAACTTGTATGATTTGGCCCCATTTACTTCCACTATAAGTGCCTCATTGTACGTCAGATGTTGAAGACTCTCATGCCAGGTTTAGTGTCATATTTGCTAAACACCACTGTTTGTCAGTGTCACATATCAATTCAGTAGGTTTATCATAAAAGGATTTTTAACAAATTTGTGTCGTTTCCCTCTTCACGTCTATTCACAGACGCCATTCGTTTACTTCCTGTATGCTAACGATGGTGCACTATTTCTCCGTTTTTATAACACAGACGCTCTTCATCTAAGAAAAGAAACAATAGACCTCCATTTTAAGTTTCCTACAGTGGCCGTGCCAAACAGATCTCTCGCTGTGCTTTTATTGCCGTGCAGCGGTGTATTGATGCTAATATACTGCAGTGTGCCAGTGCTGGCAGCTGGCAGTCTGAGAGACAGCGGTGTCTCGGTGAGATTAGCCCCTGATACTGGGTAATTGCCAGTGGCACAGTTGCTAATCCGCTAGCTCATGCCTGTCTCTCTGCTTACTTATCACTCTATAACCAGAGCTGAAAGCTTGAATGAAGGGAGAAACAGAAAAGGAAGAGGTAGAGACAAAGAAAGGGAATGGTGAACGCTTGTTTTCAGCTCACACAGAATCAGCTGACGGAAGTCTTCTGAAGACAAGCCATAGTGAAGAACAAACTACATTTTAGTTGATATTAACAGATTTTAATATCAACCAAAGTAGCTCTCAGAACAGATATTTGTTGCCTTCAGACACAAGACATTAAGCATTGTATGTTCTATCTATGTCTCGTGACCAAACATAATTGACAACGGCGCCATGTTTGATTTAGAGTTACAGTGATGAAAATGAAGTTGTGAAAGACGGAAATACAATGCATTTAATGTGTTCAAACCAACAATACTCTGTAAAACCGTAACACAGGCTGTACTTTCTTCACAGGCTCATTTTTGGGCGTTTGTGGTACAGCTCTGATTTTATTAGAGGGAATACTGAAGGGTAGTGAACAAGGTCCAAAATAAACACTCGCCAAATGTGAGTAAAATTGCCTTTGGTGAGTAAATAAAAGGGAGTTAGTAGCCAGTTGGCACAGAATTAGGTACTGTAGCAATAAATGGTTTAATTAAAATTTTGAGAATGATAATTTGATATTTAGCAATGCAAATCAAATCGTCCACTAAATAGTCAGTGGGGATTTACCACCATTAGTTTACCCAGCATACTAAGGGTTTCATTCCCTCTGAACTTCATACATTTTATTATTATTTAAATACTATTAAAGTTTTTATTAATATTTTGAATTTCTTTTTTGTTTTGTTTCATTTTTAAGAATATATCTTTATAGTAATTTTGTTGTGTGCTTTTGACATCTTTATTTTTTTTTTTAAATATATATTTCAAATAATTTTATTTATTTTAGATCAGTTAGTAATTTTAGTACTTTAACTTAAATGTTTAAATGTTGTCCTGGCAACTAACTGAAATAAGTTTAATTAAAAAAACAAATAATAATAATTTCAGCTTTTTTGCAATTAACAATTTACTTTATTAAATTAAGTTAACAAAACAAAGGTAAAGGTAAGGTAACAAAACTGGAAACTGTGAGCAGCAAAATTGTTTATTGGTCCAGGGTAGAGCATTAACTTTCCATAACAAGTAATATTAATACTTTCCATAACAAGTAATATTATTAGGGGAAGTCGTGGCCTAATGGTTAGAGAGTCAGATTCATAACTCAAAGGTTGGGGGTTCGAGTCTCGTACCGGCAGGGATTGTAGGTGGGGGGAGTGAATGTACAGCACTCTCTCCCACCTTCAATACCACGTCTGAGGTGCCCTTGAGCAAGGCACCGAACCCCCAACTGCTCCTCAGGCGCCGCAGCATAAATGGCTGCCCACTGCTCCAGGTGTGTGTGCACTTTGGATGGGTAAATGCAGAGCACTAGTTCCGAGTATGGGTCACCATACTTGGCCACATGTCACGTCAAAAAAAAAAAAAATAACCAACAAAAAAAAAAGTATGCTATGCCTATATATTTTACCCTTTATTTTTAAGAATATATCTTTATAGTAATTTTGTTGTGTGCTTTTGACATCTTTATTTTTTTTTTTAAATATATATTTCAAATAATTTTATTTATTTTAGATCAGTTAGTAATTTTAGTACTTTAACTTAAATGTTTAAATGTTGTCCTGGCAACTAACTGAAATAAGTTTAATTAAAAAAACAAATAATAATAATTTCAGCTTTTTTGCAATTAACAATTTACTTTATTAAATTAAGTTAACAAAACAAAGGTAAAGGTAAGGTAACAAAACTGGAAACTGTGAGCAGCAAAATTGTTTATTGGTCCAGGGTAGAGCATTAACTTTCCATAACAAGTAATATTAATACTTTCCATAACAAGTAATATTATTAGGGGAAGTCGTGGCCTAATGGTTAGAGAGTCAGATTCATAACTCAAAGGTTGGGGGTTCGAGTCTCGTACCGGCAGGGATTGTAGGTGGGGGGGGGGAATGTACAGCACTCTCTCCCACCTTCAATACCACGTCTGAGGTGCCCTTGAGCAAGGCACCGAACCCCCAACTGCTCCTCAGGCGCCGCAGCATAAATGGCTGCCCACTGCTCCAGGTGTGTGTGCACTTTGGATGGGTAAATGCAGAGCACTAGTTCCGAGTATGGGTCACCATACTTGGCCACATGTCACGTCAAAAAAAAAAAAAATAACCAACAAAAAAAAAGTATGCTATGCCTATATATTTTACCCTTTTCTTGCAGTCTGTCCTTACCTACCACACTCATTCCCTTGCTTCTCCTCCATTCACATCAGAGTCGTGTGACTTAGTATATTAGCCGGTGGATAAGCTTCTAATTTCATTTGGAATAGAGTATTTAAACTGGGATTTTCTGTCTCTGTCTCCTCAGAGAGACCCCTGGGTATGAGTAGTAATTGAATTTTCTTTATATCTGTCTTATTGTCTGCTGTTTTGTGTCTCAGTTAAAGCTGTCTGCTAACGTCAAAGTTGTGCTCTTTCATTCTAAGGACCATAGAAGTTTATAATACCTGGAGAGAGCTAGCTGTAAGCGTTCCCATTCACCTCAATGGCAGTTATTGTAAGTTTCGCAATATGCTGAGTAGAGAAACCCTGACAATCATGGGAAAAAGTCATTCCTAAACTGCTCCTTAACTCTAGTTTTTTGCAAAATGCATCTCTTCACTTCGGCATCAATATCGCATTAACTTGCTCAGAGTGTAGATTTTCTCCTTTTCTAATTACAGCAGAGGAAAGTGCACCTAACTGGAGGCAACAGCAAGGTTTCTTATACCAAACATCCTTTTCTTTATCTGGGATTTTCTCTCTCTATCTCTCTCACACACACACACCCTTATCGCACCTTTGTCAACAGTAAGCAGCTCTGATAAGCTTTGACACCGAAATATGTAAAATATACATGATGTTCTGCCTTGTTTTTCATGCAGCGAGATGAAGTGAGACAGGCATAGGAGGCGGTAGGCCATTGATTGGATGATTTGGTTTGAGTTCTCCTCATGTAGGTAACAAATGAAAATAGTCTTAAGCCTCACGTTCATTTTGGGAGACGGACTTCTGCTGCCGCCCATCCAATTCTGGCCATGATTGGACGCCACCAAGCTACATGTAAAACAACCCCTCTGAAACCAATTACAGACTGCTTTTCCCTCCTTGTTTCGTTATGCTGTATTCTTTATTGGCATCACTCTGTACAAAAAGGCAATTTTCGACTCTATGGTCTATACGAGGCTCTAAGATTGGCTTAGGGGGAGAGGGATTTGAGAACATATGCTACAAACTAGCAATATTGGATGGGAAAATAGGGGAAAAAAGGAAGCAAATTAGGGCCCCGGAAAGCTACATAACTGAAACGACAGATATGGCAGAACTTTGATGCGTTTTTCCATTCTTCAGCAGATTGGTGGAGGCTCTATAAATAGGAGGTTTTCTGGGTGAAATCCCAAGTGAAGCTGTTGTACCCGTAAGCAAAGACACTTAACCTCAATTACGTCAGGAAGCATGCAGCCATAGACGTACGGAAAAGGGGGTGCCAGACAGAACTGTGTTGTGTGTCTGGCTCAAGAGTGCAAGTAGATGTTTCTACCAGTGGAATTCAACTGCAATTTGTCGCCAACTGTTTTTTGGAAGGTTTTACCCATGCTGCCTTTCTGTGTTTGCCAAAAGATGAAAGACCACCTTGCTGATGAAGATCAGGGAAAGACAGACAAACAGACAGACAGCAGACAAACGCAACATCAGGAAAGCGTCAAGCCTCACACACTGTGCAGGTGGCCTGTGGGCGGATGGGATCTGCAAGACGTCTTCAGATGCCCCAGTCTGTCCCTATTCTTTTCACCCGCCATCTTTTCTGAGTTCTCCCACTCTCCCTTCATTGTCGTCCTCCCACCTATTGGCGGAGGGTTGGGGGAATGCGACACACAAACAGTAATAATCTCGCCACTGGATATCGGCAGGAGACTTTGTGCATTCTGGTGCACTTTAATCTCAGTAATTGCATATATTTTTTGAAATGTATCGTTACCCAGAGCTGATAATGAAGCAAGATTTACTTAACTGTGTATAATTTAACAAGGTCCTGGGGGATAACGTGTGTGTATATTAGTGTTCTCCCACTTGTGTTGAGAGATTTTATTTTTATCTATCATTTCGCTCTAAGGCTGATTTAATTAGAAACGTATAAATTGTTTTTTGAACATAATAAAAGACATCTAATGTAGGTTAATTTTAGTGTAATCCCGAGCGACAGGCTTCAGTCCAAATTCTGTGATTTTCAGGTCAAGACTACTGTATTACAGTACATGCTCTATCAACACAGCTTGAATTTATTTTGCTTCTTAGGCTGTTGTATTGACATTGCAGTGCAGAGGCATCATAACTGGACTGACAAGTTCCTGGGGTTATTGAAGTTCTGCGAGGCCAGAATTGCATTAAGTCTGCTCCACATTGCAGCGTATTTTGATCAATATGTGAAGCAATCAGCCTGTGCTGTTTATGGAATTCGGCGAATCTAGTGAATTGTTCTTTCTCAAAAGTGCTCATTGTATCAATACTCCCTACCTTGTTCCAGGCATAAGGAAGTTGCGTGTAGTCAGCCAAGCCAATCTGAGATGGCTGGCTCTTGCCAGTTATGTATGCAACAGGTTTGTATGCCATTCAGAACTAAATTGAAAATGCCTCTCACATTTCAACTTTGAATTTCAGAATGTGGAATTAAAGTGAATTGAATTTCAAAGAAATTAGTGTTAATTTTGTCAGCCATTTCTAATTTAGTCTTAGTCTTGTTTCAAATGTGCTTTTTAATTATCATCATATTTAGTCAATCCTGTTTTTGTTTATTCAAGTTTTAGTCGACTAAATGTTTGAGCATTTTAGTCTATTTTGGTCAATGAAAACTTGTCGGCACATTTTCGTCATGCTGTGTAATAGTTAAATTAATATATATATATATATATATATATATATATAAGTGCATCTCAATAAATTAGAATGTCGTGGAAAAGTTAATTTATTTCAGTAATTCAACTCAAATTGTGAAACTCGTGTATTAAATAAATCCAACGCACACATACTGAAGTAGTTTAAGTCTTTGGTTGTTTTAATTGTGATGATTTTGACTCACATTTAACAAAAACCCACCAATTCACTATCTCAACAAATTAGAATATAGTGACATGCCAATCAGCTAATCAACTCAAAACACCTGCAAAGGTTTTCTGAGCCTTCAAAATGGTCTCTCAGTTTGGTTCACTAGGCTACACAATCATGGGGAAGACTGCTGATCTGACAGTTGTCCAGAAAACAATCATTGACACCCTTCACAAGGAGGGTAAGCCACAAACATTCATTGCCAAAGAAGCTGGCTGTTCACAGAGTGCTGTATCAAAGCATGTTAACAGAAAGTTGAGTGGAAGGAAAAGGTGTGT